TAATCAGTGACCTCGATGTGGCCTCCAACTGCACCCTGAAAACTAGTCCATTATGTATTTTTTCTGTCCCAGAAAGTACAAAGTAAACGAACAACATGAATATACCTATTGAAATAACATCTTATATCAGAATTAATATTCTGTAGGAATACATACCTCCAAATAAATTATCACAATATAGGTTCAATATTTATAAATGTGACACTACAGCATTTAAAATGTACATATGTTCACACTTAGTAGTGGAACCATACTCTTTCAGTTCAGAATATGCCACAATGTGCCTATGTACATATGGACTTTTTCCTGTTGATCATTTACTCAGAGTGCATGAAAACAGTTGTACTTGTTTGCATCAAAAGCCCTTGTTTTTTTCTTTTTTTTTTTTTTTTTTTTTTTTTTTTTTTTTTTTTTTTTTTAACTTTGCTGTGCTAATTATATGAACAGCATGGATTTTGACAGATACTCTCTTGAGCTGAGGCCAGGGAGTGCATAGCTCCCTTTGTGCAAGTTCTACTCTGTAAAGAAAAGAATGAATATTTTGAAGTGTTAAAATTACTGTTACTTGAAAATGTTACAGTAAGTTACTTTGGTGAATTTACTGTTTGTGTATATATTTTTTTTAATCAGCCTGTTAACTAAAATCATGGCCTGGCTACATTTCACGTTTTATTTTATAAAACCGACACACCTCTAAAGCAAAGGGAGATCTAGAGCAGGTTGTTTTCCTTCAGTGTTATAAAATGAAAAAGAAGATACATACTTATTTATATATGTATGCATTTACTTCACTTCAAAATATAATCAGAAAGGGGGGAAGAATCTGCAGTATCCTTGTTCAAAACAAAAATTGCACTAAACCGCTTAAAACAAAATCTTACCACAACAAAAATTGGCACTATCATCATTAATAATATATTGCTTTTCATATGCAGAGGTAATAAGGAGGCTCTGTGATCCATATAACCTCAATAATGTATAAATGAATCAAAAAGAATCTAATTAGTTCAGCAGCACCAAAAATTATTAAGTAGAAACATCAAAAGAGCCAGCGGGACGCTACTTTTTTTTTGTCAGACATGCTGCAGAGCTGCCCTTCAGAATCCTCTGGTTTGTATCTGGAAGCAGGCCTCACAAATGTAGGTCACGGTAACTTAAAAGAACTGGAGCGAAGGGATGCCGCCCCAGTACCTGTACCCTCCCCGAGCAGCACTGCCCCGCAGCCTCCCCAGCCCCATCTCCGCACGTCCCACACGAAGTTCTGCACCAGCCAGGATCTGTGCAGGGGAAGGGTGGAGCCGGTTCCTCACCTCCTGTCTGCAGCCACAGAAGATAGTGCATCCTGAAAGCATTACGTTTGCTACTATCCCTTTTTTCCTCCTGCCCCTCAGCGCAACTGCGGAAAAGAAGGAAGGGTGGATTGGGACGGTATCTCGGCTTCCACGGAGACATGCTACAAGGGAGGAGATACAAAGGATAGTTGAGCAGACAACCGCAAACGCTACAGAGGCACAGGACCTCCCTGTAGATGGTCCTGGCCACCTATGAATCCCTCCGGAGTCCTACAGCTGTTCCTGCCATCCAGATGGGAAAACGCGCGCATGCACATGCAAGAGAGCCCCTGAGGAAATACCTGTGGAGGCATCTAAGAAAAAGTTAGAACAGCGTGTGTATATATTTATTTATTTATGAAAAAAATAGCGAGAGGACTTTTATAACTATACCGCATAGATGCGGGCATCCGTGCCCCTGCAGCATATATTGCTAGGGTTATACTACATCCGAGATAACGTAGCGAGACAATCATACCCCAGAGGAATGTAGCTTGGACCGATTTTTCACAAAGAAAAGCCCTAATCATATAATTCACTGAAGCCAGAAAAGTTTCATTTAAAAATAAACAAAACCTAATACTGGGGTCCACTGTACTTAAGTCAAGGAATTATTTTTTTCTAACCCTGAAGATATGGATATCTAAGCTTAGCCTGTATCCCCTTTGACAGGATGTATTTGTCCACTACCCGGTAATGTTTCACTCCTCTTTGAAATTAAGTAAAAGCATCGCGTGCAAGAGAAACAGTAACGCTATGAAAGGAAGACCTTTCACTACTCTGGGACTGTTCCATATCCAAACCCAAAAGGTTTACTTCTTCAAAGGAATAAACAGGACAGTACTTGTACAGTAAAGGTTTAAACCATGGTAACAACATTTTTAAGGTACATTCTCCAATAGCTTTCAAAATTGTTCAATTTGCGGACCTATTAAAAAAAAAACCAAACAACAAACAGTTATGCAATGGAGCTGGGCAGACAAACAAAGCCTCCTTGCCAGAAGACCTGCTCTTCTCTTTACCTTTCATGGAACATATAGAAGGCAACAGACCCCACAGGTCCACAAAGACCAGGCTGAAAAAAAATCATCGTTGCAGTTACAGGAACTGCTGCAGTATACCCTAAGGTCCACAGTTCCCAAGGAATTCAGCTGGAGGTGGACTGGGCCTCAAAAGTTGCTTACTATCCCCGTTATCGGCAACATCAAACTAGAACTACTCTGACAGAAATCTGTGCTGAGGAGCTCCAACACAAACCTCTGAGGAATCAAAGGGCCCGCTCCCGCAAGCCATCACACTCCTAAGCAGACACACGGAACAAGCAGGGCTATCCAGCAGGGTAAAGTTTTTCAAGAAATCCTTAACAAATAAATATGGAAAGTCACAAATTTAACACAGATGGCCCACAACATCTGCAAGAGTTAAAATACACAAACTTCTCAAAGATAACGCAGAACGCTGATACAGACAAACAAAGCCAGCCTATGCCCGCTGCAGCAGCCGCCAGCACTCTGCAGCCAGAGCGATCCCCATGCAGGCAGCACTGTCCAGCCTTCCATAAATACAACTACAGAGTATCTCTGTCAGAGGCGTCCTGAGGAGGAGGGGTGGTATTGCGGGAGGGACAGTATTTAAGAAAATAAAAGGACTGAATTGCAGCCTGTATGCCGCTGTCTAGAGCTAGTTACATTTGTACCACCCATTCCCTGGGGAAAATGACATACAATGCAAACAGGCCTAGTTGTTCAATTATTCAAGTATTAAGAGAGATTCACAGAAAGACATCTGAGAAACATAACATTTTAATAGATGAAATAAATACTCCAGTACATGCAAGATAAAAACTGACATTGGAAAAAAAAAAATTAAAAATCACTTTTGTTATAGTGTAATTTTTTTGTTTGTTTGTTTAAACACTCACAGTAGCTTTTCCCCCAGTTTGGAAATCAACACATGGAAAACATAATCACAACCTCCAGTCCTTCCACTCCTACACACCAAATGCACTTCTAACCTAACACTTGATGCAAAATAAAAAAAAAGTCATACAAAACAAAAACAAACAAAATAGTAGCTACATCCACCATCTATGTGTTGTTGGGTTTTTTCATTTTTTTTTTAAATGAGTGAGAACTGAGGTAACCTTTTTCCTGCACAACCGAACAGTAAAATTTAGAAGGGAAATTTCGGAAGACAAGACAAGACAAACTTTAAAAACCGCACCCAGCGCGATTAAAGCTTTTTTTTTTTTTTTCCTTTTTTTTTTTTTAAGATACCCCCACCTCCCCAAATATAAAAAAAATTTAAACAGTTGTTATTACCATTTGTGTGAAGACCTTGCTGAATAAAGGAAAATTTATCTACAGATACTTGCTTGACTTTAAAGTAAAATAAAAAGAAGCCAAAACTGGCTACCTTTGTTAGTACGTATAGTTTGAAAATGCTGTTCTGCTTCTTCACCACATGAAATCAAAGGATTGGGCTCATCCAGGTAAATTCTTTGGTATACAAAAAAGGGGTGAGGAGGTGGGATATTATTTTCCTTTAGCAATGACTGGGATCTAAACAGAAGATGTGGGGGTTAATTCACAGAATTGGAGTTCACTGGCGGTAAAGTCCTGGGTGAAGATCTTTCTCTTAGTGCCTGAGATAACAGGTTGCAACCATCCGAGACGGCGCAAGCTGAGTTCCTCAACCTTTCCCTGTAATCGCTCATTTTGGTGCTACTTTCGGGGTGTTGGGCTATATCCCTGAGGCATTGGGTCAGGAGCACACAAGCAGATACCACACTCATGGCTCCTCCTAGGATGGCAGTTTGCACAGCTTTGCCCTCTGGATTAATGGTGGCAGCTTTACCCAAAAACTGGGGCTCAGTGGCAAAGCCCACCAGAGCATAGACAGACTGCACCAAAGGTCCACTGAACAAGACGCATCGGTTCCTGGTCAGCTCGCTGGGTGAAGTCTTGACCTCCTTGACACAGGCCAAGAGGGCAGAGGCGCTGGTGCTCATACATTTGACACTGAGTTTGAACTGCTCCTTAGCAAATTTATCCTTGGATTTCTCACTGGCCAGCACGCAGGCGTCTGTCAGGAATTTCAAGTTCTTGGACATGTTCTGAGAAACCTCCAGCAGGAGCTGAGGGCTCATATCTGCCAGAGGGGTGGTCTTCAAGACCCCGCAGCCGTGCTCCACCTCATGCCTACATCGGGTCACCTTGTAGCGATCCACCAAGCCAGGCATAGCAGGCTGGGCCCCCGGAGTCTCCACTGCAGCCAGGTAGGCAGCGTGGGCAGAGCATTCGGTCAGGGAGACCACCAGCTCCCCCATCTCCATCAGGCTTTCTCCCACCTCCCCGAAGCGTCCCATATTGAGCTGGCTCTGGACGTCATGGGTCAAGATGGAGAGTCCTTTGGTCCTGGCAATGATCGTGTCCCTGCACTTCTCAAAGGACTCACCGAAGACAGACAGGCTCTCTGTGTTCACCGGCCTGGTCTCGCTCGACAGCAGAAGCAGATCGGCCACCAGTTGCATCTTGATCTTGCAGTGGTCGCAGATAGAGATGAGCTTCTTCCTCTGCAGGGAACTGCTGCTGGGGATGCCGCCGCCAGACACCTCGCTGCTGGACTTGCCAGAGCCACCGCTAGCCATAGCGCCGGGGGGGCACTCGCATGCCGCTCGCTACCCCACTGCCACCGCCTCTGCCACCGCCGCCCGAGCAGTCCCGACTGAGCCCGGCAGGATCGCTCTGCCTTTTCCGCAACATCATTCCATTAATCGCCGCGAGGCAAGAAAAGGCTCTGGGCGCCGGGGCTGCCGCTGCTGCGGGGAGCGGATCGCTCTGCCTTTTCCGCAACATCATTCCATTAATCGCCGCGAGGCAAGAAAAGGCTCTGGGCGCCGGGGCTGCCGCTGCTGCGGGGAGCGAGCTCCGCCGGG